ATAGAGGTGACCAGGCAGTCACTTTATCTGGTTCATTCTGCCTGACATTTGGAAGGATTTAACATAAGACCATTTGACTTAGACCACTTGCTGATGTCCAACAGAAAGCTATTAAGTTTGGAGCAGTCAGACTCGGAAGTGATAGGCAGTGATACAGTCAGATCATCAGCATATTTGACAAAATTAGTTTCGTTTAAATGTGGTAGGTCGTGTAGGAAGAAAGAAAAAAGAAAAGGAGAGAGGACGGCACCTTGGGGAACACCGGCTTTTGTAAGCAAAGCAGAAGAAGATTTGCCATTATATGCAGTATATTGCATTCTATCAGAAAAATAAGAATGCAACCAACTCTTAGCCCAGGATGCTGTGTGCGTCAAGGAGAGCTTATTTAATAAAAGGCCCCTAGGTACAGAGTCAAACGCAGATGTGTAGTCTAGGAAAGCACCACGAACATATTTGGCACCTTTGTCTAAACAAGAAACAACATTATGATATAAGACAACCGCAGCATCCAAGGTACTTCTACCATGTTTATATGCAAATTGCTTAGGATCATTAAAAGCTTTCAATGAAGGTTCAAGACGAAGTAAAAGTAGTTTTTCCATCAATTTTAAAAAAGGAGAAGTAATTGCAATAGGCCTAAATTTATTATCGGTACCAGAAGATTGTTTTGGTATAGGGATAATTTTAATGTTTTTCCATACAGAAGGTAGAACATTACTGGAAAAGGAAGCATTAAAAATATTAGTAAGAGGGTAACACAAAATATCAGCACAGTTCCTGAGGACAATGGCAGGTACGCCATCAGGACCAAGGCTTTGGGAAGGCTTAAGAGAACGGAGGCATTTAAGCACATCAAGGGTATTAAAACCACTAAAATTATTGTCTATGTGATTTGTATCATTAGGAAGGATATCGACAGAGGAGCGTATGAAAGACTTATTAAGATTATCAACATTAAGAGATTGGACAGAAGTACACCGCTTACCGCTAGTTATTTCTTTAAAAAGTTTCCATAAACTAGAAGGGGTTTTACATGACAAGAATCTTTGGTTGTATAAAACATTTAGTCTGTGCATTTCGAGTTTTATCAGAGTGTTCAGCTTTTTTACACCTGACTTATCATTTGTTTTGAACAACAGTTCTTTATCTCTACGGAGCTTTTTGAGATATGGAGAAGAGAAACGGTCAAATCGAGTGAATAATGTTTCTTTAGGAAAACATATTTCGAAACAGAATTTAAGATAATCTGTGGTGTTTGTGATTGTGTCATTTAATGTTTGTTCTGTAAATAGGTCCCAGTTAGTATCTATCAACATGCATCTGAGTTTGCTTAGATTGTCTTGTGAGTAGCATCTCCGTTGAAATTTACTGTAGAGGTGAGAGAAGACACGTTTGTGTGATTTGGAATATATTTTAGGCAGTACACGTATGATGCAGTGATCAGAGTTCAGTACAGGAGCACGTTTGCGAGCTTCATATATACCAACATCATTGATGAATACTAGATCTAGTGTTTTTTCGAGACGGGTAGCAAAGTTAACAATATTGTCATGGCCAAGTGATATAAGGAAGGAGTGATCACATGAGTTAAAATCGCCAGTCACTATTGATAAAGAGTTCTCGAAGCAAGCTGCAGCAAAAGCGGTGAATTCATCTGCGAACATAGATAAATCCGATATGGTACAGCCAGGAGAGACATAAACATTAGAAATATAAATGAATTTGTATTTTGACAAGTGTTTCGGGCGACATCTGACAGTGATGCAATCAATGTAGTCATTCGAGAATTTGAAACAAACTTTGTTAGAAATAGACCATTTTGAGTGAATAAATGTAGCTACACCTCCGCCGCATTTTTTCTTGGAACAAACACGGTCTTGTCGGAATACATTAAAATCATTTAAAGATACTATATTGTCATCATATGAGTCATGAAGCCAGGTTTCTTGTAGAGTTACAATACCAGTATTGTGATAAGTTTCGGATAACAACAGGGACTGAAAATCCAGAATTTTGTTAGGCAGTGACCGACAGTTGGTACTAACGATAACCGGAACAGTGGTTTGATGTATGGGTGTAGATTTTAAAGCACGTTGCCAACCACCATGGTGCTTTTTCTTGAGTTTATTGCAAATATGAAAGTTTTTAGGTTTTAAGCATTTTATATAATCCCGAGAGTGAATGATACGATTAGAATGCATAATTTTAAATGTAAACACCAACAAAATATGAGTAAATAGATGCAAAATGTACATGGAATATGGTAGCCCAAAATGTTCAAACAGGCCGCCAAGGTCAAGGGCATTGTGAAGATTTTTAGCGGTAGCATGGGAATGTCAGAACCACCATACTTATAGAAATACGACGATGTACTGTCAGTACCAAAACCTTTAGAGCTTTTGAGAGTCCTAATGGTTTGGTCAGTGTTAGCATAAGTGAACTCAACGGTATTAATTTGTTTTGATGTGAGTAAAGGTGGGAGTTGCGCCATATTAGAAGACTGCATACCGAATAATGGGATTGTAGGCTTAAGGTAGTTAGCTGCAAATGTTTTGTTGAATAATCCACAGATGTCTGCAGAGCCATTATATAGCCTACCTTTGTCGATGAGGAGAGAAATGCTGTAGTTCTCGCGATTCAATCGCTTCTTTGGGATTTCTGTGAGAGCATAAACCCCATCAGGGCTGACTAGTGCGGTGCGTTCTTCGTTCCACATACACAAATCTTGAGCTTGTGAGATAGGGCTAAGAGCATTAGGTACTGATGTGCCGAATTCGTGGTGTTTGAAGTAAATTGTCGAGAGTCTCTTCAGTTTCCTACGATCCTTACGTTTTATAAACGACTTTCTATGTAGGGAAACGTTTGGTGTTTGGAGTGGAATGGCAGCATATTAGCATCTGTTTGAGTTCTGGTAGAAGATGCTCAGAGCACACCAGAGGTCATCAGTAGTGAAGAATTCGCCCCATTAGGAGGATCATTACTCTGTTTCATGCAAGTCTCGATCTTATTCTAATGTCTGATAAACTTTTCTCATGTATATAAACGAAGTAGGAAAGTTATGTGAGTACCTTGATATGGTTGTGGGCAATAAATTGTGCTCGAAACATCATCAGTAAATATTACTGTATAACACTGTGACCTTATCAAAATAAAATTTTATCCGCAATGGAGTTATCTTCTACCACAGTGCCCAAGTTTATCCCTTTTTCGAATGTTCAGATCGCGAGGGCACGATCGTTTGCGATTCTCTCTGGTTGAAAGTGCATAGTAATCCGTTTTACCAACGACAACCTCAGACACACTCACTAAGCGAGTGTGCGTCGGTAGCACAGTGGTTAGGACACTCACCGACCATGCACATGGTCCGGGGTTCGATCCCCTACCGACGCACACCCGATATCTATGGTCGGCCTGCAAAATTTGGGCTACCGATATCCATGGTGAAAATTCCATACTTGTACTGAAAATACGGTGTGGCATCAAGCTGTAATCAAAATAAAAAATAATCAGAACCCCCTTTATTGTCCACCTCCAAACTGCCTCATCCCTTCCTTGGACTAGGCACCGCTGAACGTCACCGGAGAACTCCGAGATTGTGTGTTCCGAGCAATACTTATCCAAAGGAGCAGGGCTGGAGACCAACCGGAATTTTCGACGGTTTGCAGTGGAGAAACAGCAATTGAAATCTACAGGAGATCAGAAACTGACAAGGCAGTTAGATCAAAAACTGCGAAAGTCCAGATCGCAAGAGATCCTGAACGTAGCGCTGGGCCCAGAAGGCTAATCAGTGCCTCAGAATGCTATGTGCGACATCCGACGCGAGAATATGAGAAAACTGATTGGCAATACGAGAACTATTTATTTCTCCGCCGAAAACGAACCACAACAACAGGACTACAAACCGCAGAGTCTCTAAATATCGTCCCTAATCTTGGCCACGCGGTGATAAATTCAAGTATCTTCGAACCTGCAAATCATTATCTCAAGGTGGGTATGGCGCTCATGACATCCGAAGACTCTTGAAATCAGAGACCTGAGTGTTACTCGCCTGTCTCGGCCGGCTTCCTTTGTTAGTGACTCCAATCATTACTCACTATTGCTATATTTTCGCGTTGTGGTGGAACGTCTGCTTTCTACCACAATTAATTGATGGAATACATATGACACACGGTGACCAAGCCTGTCCCTGTTCGGCCCTCCTGATGGTATATGTTCACTACATCTCAAGAGTGCCTTTTAGTAGTACGGTGTGAATATAGGTAAGCCATGCTACATGAAGAAAGGTGAGCAGCTGATAGGATTCACATGTACGCCATTGTAGCCACACTGGGCAGTTTTCATACGTTGAGTCCAACTGCGAACTGCATTCTATGAAACAGTTCAAGATTGATTACTACCGTAATAAAACGTTTACTACAGATCACTGATAACGTGTTAGTAGGCTCAGAGTTTACTGTAAACTAAATTGTATATATTTTACGTCATGTCTTCATAAGAAAACGAAGTTTTCGCCACGAAAATAGTAGGTATGGATGTTAGGGAAACTTAAGGAAGGAAGTCCAGAGTATATGCTATCATTTTCTGAGAAACTAACAGGTTCATTTTCTGCAAATGTGGATTTAATTGCTAAACATACTTAATTTTCGTTCCGAGTTGTAGCTAAAAACTAGTAGAAGCCTCCTACACGGTTTGAATTATCTAGGACTCTTCTATCAGATGTGATGTTAGGAGAGAAATACACACCGACTGCAGATAATACGGCCCTAATGTTGAAGTATCTTGCTCTGGAGATTAGCTGTGCAAGTCGCTTAGTTTCCACTTCGCGAAAATCCCCCTGAAGCTTGGGAATTTACAACTCAGACATTTGAGAGAGGAAAATTGTAGGCTTTCTTATTTTACTAACTTTTCAATTGGAATCTTCATGAATGATGGATTTGTTTGTTGTCTTCAGGATTTTAACCTTGACAGCGCTAATGTAAAGTGCGGATAGTTTGTCACTAATGGATGATGCAACATCCTCACAGGAAGAAGTCAAGAAAACTTTGCCTCCTAAGCAAACTTTTCTCTCTTTATCGTGGGATTACTTTAAATTTTTGCTGACGTGTGCATCTATTTATGGAGTGGGGTACTTCCGACTTAGTGTTAGCTGGGTATTACTGGGGTCATTGGGCTACTTCGTAATACGGCACACTAAAAATAAGAACTCGAAGTTGATCAGTTCATTAAAAGCAATCGGGGAAGATGAAAAAGCATTCATCATTCAAAATTTTTCTGTCAGGGACCTTCCATCATGGGTAGGCTCGTAACAGTCGGCATTACATACAATCCACTTTAAGGTTTACTTTCCAGATGTTGAACGAGCCGAGTGGCTCAACAAGGTAAGAATATCAAACTTTTTATTTTGGAAGGTGATTAAACGGATGTGGCCGGCCATCAGTCAATATGCAAGGGACATCGTCATCCAAAATATAGAACCTATTGTTTCTCAGAATTTACCAGCTGCATTGACGCCTTTCAGCTTCGCAACTATTGATTTGGGGGACACCGTAAATTTGTCTCTTCCTTATTTCATATTCTAGCCTCCTCGAATCGGTGGCATTAAGGTTTATATGAATGAAAATATCCGTAAGGATGAAATAGTTCTTGACTTGGATCTTATGTAAGTTTCACTATTCCTAATTTTCGTACAGGTTGTACAGTGATGCGAGAATAAAGGTAAACCTGGGGAAAGTCAAGGCAGGTGTAAAAGAATTTGAGGTACATTTAAATCAGTTGCCTATACTTGAGTGTTTTGTTCATTCTGTATTATCGATTCTCATCTTTTTGCCACTGTAAAATGTGTGCAGAATTGAATTATTTTGCCATGTTCATATATGTTATAATGTTGTGGCGACTCGGTGAATAATTTCTTCAATTCAATGAATATTAATGCTTGTCGTTCCCTTTCCACGGGAAGAAGTATTTGATTAGCTAAATGGATTAAGTGTCTGTAAGCACTTAGTGTAACTTAACTGGAATTGACATGTTAGTTAGCTAGTTAGTTGATACTGAAATTCTCAGTACTAGGCTATATGTTACACTTACCGTGTGAGAACTGATGACACTGTTCAGTTTCCTAGGCTGAATTAGATGAGGCTGGATTTTGACCTGGAACCCATTGTTTGGAAGTCGAATGGTCAAACCAATTAGCCACATTTCCACAATTAAGATGTACATTCATCGAGTGTCATTTGCGAGAGATTTAATCAAATGGAAATGAATTATACGTAAATTAAGCGGAAATATCTCGTGAACATTTGGTGACTACAGTACTGTTATTACACTTTCGGTCTTGTTGTATATCCAAAGATAGCGTACACTGTACAAATTACAGAAACATCGGAGTTTATTGTAAGGTCTTTCATCTATCTGTGTGAGTTTGCTGATTATTTTCTTTTATTTTGGAATTCTTTAAATGTGTTACTTTTTGGTACAACAAGCTTCGAAGGATGGCCTTATACTTTCCATAAACCCACAAATGTGATCTCAAACACAGTGGACATATGTTTTGTAGAGTGATTTAGTGGTGGGTCTGTCTTTTATTAGCTTTATGATTAGGATAATCAATACCTGTCCACTCCCCATATTACAAAGCGATTATGTCCCTACCCGGTATTTCATCGCATCTTTCCATGTTTCTCTTCACGAAGTCTGAAATTTCGGGCTTCATTGGCTGATATGGTTCCTTCTATTCTTTACCTCCCCGTTATAGTTGACTTGTGAAGTGATTTTGAAACATTATGACAACTTGCACTCTTTGTGACTGCTATTTGAGGGTTTCGTGCTGCTAATAAGGCACGGCATGATATATCAGTGCTCATTCATGGCCGCCGGTGACTTGGAAAGAGTTCACCAATTATAAAATGTGGGATTCTAGATGTTATTCGGTTTTCAGTACAATTAAGTCGAACTTCACTAACTCCAAAGTGATAATAGAAGTGTTCAAGAATTGGGATTATTTTTGGTTCTAGGCAACATAGAATAAGGATCGAATGGAATCGAAATAAGTAGTTTGATTGTACTCTTAGCACATGTATGGGACATTTAGTATAAGTTTACACTTCAGTCCTTCCTCATATTCACCCAACATTTACATTTCTGACATAATCGTTTCACTGAGTCTTCATATCTTCCACCATTAGTGATACGGCCTTTGAGAGAAATGGATGTGAACTGCAGACACTTTTCTTTTCGTTTTAGTGAATTAGAGATCTTCTCTGTACGACATCTGACAGTTTGGCGAATAGAAGTGTAAGTGCTAGTGCCATCGTATGCAGGGTACACAGCACATTCAATGCTTGTGACGTCGGTGGCACAGCAGTTAAGACGCTCGCCGACCATGCACATGGTCCAGGGTTCGATCTCCGGCCGATGTACACCCAATATCAATGGTCGGCCTGCGATATTTAGGCTACCGATATGACATGCTGAAAATTCTGTACCTGTACCAAAAATACTGTATGGTTTCAAGCTATAGTCAAAAATTAATCCATTTGGCGTAACTTTAGTTGAAATGAGAATTTTTATATTTGATGGCGGTAAGATGACTATCCTAATGATTTTGTTGGGACTCTATGTAATTCCCACATTTCATCCGCATTCAACACAAGGACTATCGTATATACATTGTAATTTAAAGAGAGAAATTTCTATGCATGTGACGGGCAGCCGCTTATCGCAATTCATCTCCAACAATGTTATATTTTACTTGTCTGTTATCGTAATCATGATTTTTTAAGCTTTTCAACCTTGTTTTATTGTCAATTAAAAGTTGTATATTAAGTTGCGTGCATTATGAGATGGTGCAGATTAATGTGATGTATTGGTGTCATAATTACCAATGCTTGTGGAGTTTACTGTTATATAATGTGCTCACTTTTTATTCTCCGTCTGTTTTTCACTACCTGAATGCCAGTTGCGTGGTACACTACGTGTAGTTATGAAGCCACTGGTTCCGAAAGTTCCGTTTGCTGGTGCAGTGACAGTTTGTTTTCTCGACAGTCCAGTGAGTCTACTTTTGTAATCTTCGGTTCAAGTTTTGTTGCACTTGTGTGCATTTATATGTATGTATTTCGCATTCTTCCTGTTATGTTGTTAAATGTGGGCATTTAGGCGTTACCGATCGACATCTTTAGATCCTTAAATTTATATATTTATTATATGCGAAATGTGTTTCTGATTCAAGTTAAATTAATCTGAGTTTTTTGACTGTTTGGGATGAATAGAAGTGCCAAAATAGTAAACGAAAAGTCCTGGAAACTCACATCATCTCCTGTATACATTCTGAATGAAATGCTTTGACGTCGGGACTGTTAACATACACTATGAAATCAGTTAGAAAAAACCTGTGTTTCAGAAGTTAATTTGACTACTTAGAGAGTCAGTCGGTCGGTCGGTTTTCGACATAGAACTTTGCACATATGTGCGGCAGTTCAAGTCGCCACACTCCATGTAGCACACAAAGCAAGAGAAGAAAGTAGGAGAAATGCGTAGTATAGACAGTAAACAGAGGTGTGAGACAAAGGAATAGTAATAACGAAGAACAATATAGTTTCATTGGAAATCATAAGTCACAAGGAGTGGATGCATCTGCGCCACTGAGAACGATTTTGAGCCATGTCACCAATTGTTTCCAACCATTGGTTTTTACCATCCCGAGGACCCCAACCAGGAAGTCTATACCTTCCTACGTGGATGGCTTAGACTAACTGTTGTGGATTTCATTGACTGGTGCCATGTTTTTGTTTGACCGCCACTAGCTCTTTTCCAGCCTGGCCCTAGATCAGTTAACATTGCCCATTGTCGAGGAAGGCGATGACTATGCATACGTAACACATGTTCTAACCATCTCAGTCGATGTAATTTCACAGTCTCATCTATTGATTTCTCCACCTTACCTAGCATTAGAGAGTATCAACCAGTGAGTGTGGATTTCATTGATAGTCAGTTCCCATATGAAAGATGATTGGGTATGGCCTGGCGATCCTCTTCTTAGCAAAATATTTTAATATTTCCAAGACTTCAGTCCCTTACTTAAGTGTAAGTGATTTGAAATGTTTGTCAAGGAAAGATTTTAAAGTCAAACATAATGAGTCATAATTAAAGATGAGCTAACCATTGGCTATCTCAATAGGGAGTTTCTTAGTCTTTGGGTGTGTGCGTGTGTGTGCTATGTAGTCTGCTGAACTCTGTCAAGCTTTTTGAGCATACTGATCAGTCGAAGTGCCAAAATGACCTGGTGATCAACCGAAGAGTGGATGTCTAATGCATACGGGTGCTCTGAGTCATGTGTCACTATCGATTTGGAATCTCTAATTATTATATTCTTTCATTTAAAATAGGTATAAATTGATGTTTCGCTTAAATTATTAGTCACTAGAAATGCATTTCCTTAATTTATCTCTTTTTAGTACATCAACTTCTCCTTAACAGACATGGGGAATATCCTTGGACTTCCTGGGCTACAGTAAGTGTTTTTATTGTTGAATTTGTCTGATGTACTGAACTCTTGAAAAACATGATAATCGTTTTACATTTCAGTAATAATTTTGGATATATTTATGTGTTATTGCAAAGTTGGCGTTCAATAAACATCAGGAAAACACTCATTTTTTTTGCATTTGATGATGCATATAGGTCATACAATAAAGTTTCATTAGGATAGAGGGTTAGAATTGACTGTGGTAACAGTTATACAACAAACCGTAATCTTCATCTTTGATTTTTATACTGTGTATCTCGTTATTGAAGCATCACTGCTTTAATTGATGGATAGTGACTAGCAGTGGAATCCAGGAGGCGCATTTCGTCGAAGTATCTGCACAAGAAGCCGACATGTCAACCTGAGACCGAGCACTTCGGCCCAATCAATCGACCAAAAAATCTAAAAGTGAATTAAACAATTAATATGACCCGTTGCACAAGAGGTGGCTCTCGTGGCCCAAGTGGTCTAGTGGATAACGCTTTGGCGGTCGAAACTATAGGCACTGGGTTCGAGTCTCGGTGGGAACATCGTCACTCACTGAGTAACGCAGGTACGTCCAGATGACGAGTCCCAAACAGGACGAAATGCACATCCTAGTGGATTCCACTGCTAGTCACCATCCACCAATTAAATACAAATTAAATGCCCAGACATCTTCGAAGCATCTGCACAAGAAACTGACATGTCAACCTAAGACCGAGCACTTCGGTTCAATCAATCGGCGGGAAATTCTAAAATTCAATTACATCACTGCTTTAAATAAAGAAATGATGACTTCAGCGTGTGTGTGTGTGTGTGGAACTTGCTTTGAATTGTTTATTAATGTCACGGAACCCTCACCGTGGAATGTAGGTGTTAAATTTTACTTTTGTTTTTAATATCAAGGTTGATTACGTGCAACTACTGAATGTCTTGTAGTCATATTTCGTTGGCATATTTTGAAATGTGGTATTTCCGAAGTGACTTTTTTTTAAAGACATTTTTACACGTTTTTCTACTTTTTTTTCTTCAAAACTTATAGACAAACACTGAATACAGTTATTCGTAATGTTGTCAACCAGTTGGTTGTTCTTCCTAATCGTCTACCAGTTCAACTTCTCCCTGATATTGATATACAGAGTCTGAAATATCCATTACCACAAGTAAGTTTTTGTTCAGCTTTTGTTTTTGAACTAAAAGTTCTGTACACATCATGTGTAATAAAGATGCTGAATGTCATAAATGCGATGCTGCAATGCGTAACTGTGATGATGCATAAACCAGTTATTAACTACGTACGTACACGTTTGTTTAGTAAGCGTCATCTAGCGAAATTAGACTACCATGGCCGAAATCAAAGTGACCCTGAACAACCAATCAGAATTCAGACGTGAAAAATGGCGTATAATCAATAAAAAATGCATTTTAAAAGCATTGCAAACATGATATTACATTGGATAATTGTCTCTTATGCAATTTAAGGATATCTATCAGTCTGCAGAAAATCTATAGAGAAATCATACCTTGCGCAATAGATGCATTCATCCAGGTGACTGTAGATCATAGTACTTTGAGGTCCCTAACTCTAACCGTAGTCCTAACCTTAATCTTTAAATACCATAACCCCAAATAAAAATATGGATTGACGGATAAAGTACCTAGGGGATGAGTTGAGTACTGTATCGGTCCACGCCAAATTCAGAAAGACAGTCCTAATTTAATTTCTAGTGAACTATCCCTTAGTCGCACTGGTTCTTGAAGGTCAACTCCTTGACAGATCTTGACTTTGTCTGTGGTACTTTAACTTCGCCCATCACCTCTCTCGAAGTCTATCATACTACATGATATTCAGAATGTCAATGTGGACAAAAATTCGAAATTGTAACACACTAGTTAAAAGTTCTGTGCAATATTTACTCACTTGTATTTTTTTCCTTCACGTTCCCCAGTGGAACATAGGGCTTCAAGCTAGTGCCTTGAAGTTTCTGTAGCAGTGTTTATTTTACAGGATGGGGTTGCTAGCCTCATGCCCAACCTTTCCTCTTCACCAGCATTATTTCTGGCTTAGCGAGGTAAAGGAGTGTGTCGGCCGGGGATTGAACCCTGGACCATGTGCATGGTCGGCAAGCGTCCTAACGGCTATGCCACCGACGCCATATTGGGAGTACTGAACAGCTGTTTCGTCCTAGTCTGGGACTCTTCATCAGTACGCACTCACCGGGATTCGAACCCAGGACCTTCTGGTTACAAGACGAGTTCGTATACCATTAAGCCACTGGGACCTCATTTGTATTTAGTGTGCAGTTAATTGAAAACGGTTTTAAAATTACCGTAGTATTGTGTGTGCTATATGAAGTTTCCGCTTACACTAATAACAGGGCTATGTGTGCTCGACTGTAGGAGCTATTCATGTATCCAGTGTGTGTGTGTGTTTGATTATGTTGTTTCCTGATGAGTAATTCAGTCATCGTCGCTTCACTGAATGGCGTTTTCCTTTTCTAGATAACTTTAATTTTTTTTAGTGTTTTGAAAACTATAAGACGGATGACCGGTTGTTAGATCATCAAAGTTTTCTGAGTATTTTTATGTGACATATCAGCTGGACAAATAGTGATCAGTAATGAAAATTGTAATGTAACTTAGTCTATCAATAGATTAATTTCTTCAGATCACAGATCTCCTAATGTTTTCTAAAGAGTTCTGCGTCATTATTTTGAAATACTTTTCATTCGTCCTTACTGTAAACCTATAACTTCAAGAGGGTTGTCAAGTATGTGTGAACACAGGATGATACATGTATCATCCTAGGTGTGAAGGTTGATGATAGTTTGTCTAGTGGTTTTATTGGCCTCTTCAGTGTATGTCCAATGCATCGCCATTTCCTTCGAAATATTTGTTGAGCCATTGGTTCTCGGCTAGTTGGTCCTCAGAGCTTTCTGTTACTGATTCTTTCTGGCCAGCCGGCCATCTCATCTCCAGTATTGGGCTAGAGAAGGCAGATGTTGATAAAAGTTCGCAGTAGCTTTTCTGAAGTGTTTTCCGTGACGGTGGTAGCAAGCTTCTGACGTATATAGGAGAACTAACTAACTTCATTCACTTATCTAGGGAGCAGTGTCTCAACTACAGGAGGAACGGACGAGGATGTCAAATCGAGAATCGGGGAGGCGAGAAACACATTCATCAGCCTGAAACCAATCTGGAAATCTTCGTCACTCAGCCTGCATCAACAACAAAATTCGGATTTTCAATACAAACGTCAAGTCAGTCAGTTCTTCTATACGGATCAGAAACTTGACGGGTCACAACGAATATTTCCAACAGCTTGTTGCAGACCTTTATCAACAACTGTCTTCGCTCTATACTGAAGATCAGATGGCCGGAAATAATCACCAACAAGAAACTATGGGAACAAACAAAACAAGAACCAATCGCTCAACAAATATGCAGGAGAAAGTGGAGATGGATTAGACACTCGCTGAGGAGGCCGCTGGGTGAAATCGCGCGTCAGGCCATAGCTCGAGTGGAACCCGAAAGGGAAACGGCGAGTAGTGGGACGTCCAAGGATGACATGGAGGAGATCGTGTAAAGAGGAGCTGAAACAGTATGGACGCAGGTGAAAAGTACAGCAGAAAACAGAAGCAAGCCCTATGTTCCACTAGGAACCCAAGGGAACAATAATAAAATGATAATAAAACTGACTTAACATTGGTTCTGAGGATCTGAATTTTGTTCTTTATGCTGACTGATTTCAGAAGATGTGTAAACTGATTACAGGATGGTAAAAGTCTACCTAACCGCTTTGACATTCTCATTTTGCACCAGTCTGTAGTTGAAACGATCCCGCTACCTAGATAGATGATTAGTGAAGGAAGTGACCTCCCTCAAATTTATTCCGTTAATAGTGATCGGTGCTTGTTGTTGTTGTTGGTTATCTTCATCACTTTCGTCTTCTGTAAGTCCACTTGAAGTCCTGTCTTTGCTGTCAGCTTCTTCTTCTACTGCCAATTTGTTGGTTTTCGCCTTTAAGTCTTCGTGTTTGTGTAACATTAGACATAAATCATCTGTGAAGTCCATATCTTCTAGAGTCTTCTTATCAGTCCAACATATTCCTGTCTTGTCGCTCCCCACAGTGTGCCGGATAATCCAGTCCACTACAATTAGGAATATCATCGGTGATAGTAGACAGCCTTGTACTTCTGCTATCTTCACTTCAAACGCGTCGTTGAGTTTTTCGTTGTGGATAATTTGATATGTGGCGTTAGCATATAGCTGTTGAGTGGAGTCGATACAGATTTTGGGCACCCTACGGTGTTGAAGTAGTTTCCAATTTACTCTATGGTCAACACTGTTGAAGGCTTTTCCATAGTTGATGAATGTGAGGTAGAGATTTAACTGTCACTCGCACTGGCATTTAAATGAATCCAAAGATGTTGATAACGTAATATGCTACATGACATTTCAAAACATAGTCATATTATTGTTGTTCGTTACCTAGAAATCATCAGTATTTTAATACCGTGCATCTTTCTGTTTATTTGTTAGAAACCTTGATGGTAGGCTAGGAAATACTGAACCCCAATCATCTAGTACTGTAGTCATAAACTTTGCACCAAGTTATTAATTACGTCATGCATTCTCTCTCCCTGTATGATTAAATTATAAGCGTTTTAAGTTATCTGACCGATAGAAGTTGATTAATACAATAGGATAACATTTTTCACTCTCTACCGATTGAGTGTAATACTATCTAATGTCGACAAACTTGACGTTAATCGTCTATTTCGGAATATTTTTCAACTCGACAGATTCCTCTCTCATTTTTGAGGTAATTCAGGCTTTATCTAAACAACCTTTCTGTGAACCGCTATGTCTGTAACAGCAAAAGACAAGAAAATTTGGTAACGAACCTTTTTTACTGCAGAAAAACACATCATATTTATATATTTTTCACTAGATTAAAAGTCGTTCACGTCAGCGGACAAAGGATTATTCTGATTGGTTGATGACTGGCCCAAGGTTAAACAATGTTGTCCAATGAGGTTATTTCATTATCACAGCGTAAATTAAATCCAGATTTGAAGAATAAACGCTTCTATCTGTGCAGCCATTGACTTAAAATATCGATTACAGTTTTAGCCGTTTCCTACTAGTCTGCATCTATATACTACTAATAAATCTTGTCACAAGGTATACGACACATGCCTACAGAGATTAATTATTTAGGTTGTAGTATAAACAGATGAGTGATTCATACCTTTCAACAAATATTAACTGATGCCTGTTGTATACGATATGGATTATGTTATTCAACTGCTAAATGGATAACATTTATGCATTTAGATCGATTTTTGCTTGGTTCCAGTGTCGTTGGGAACATACTGCTTAACTAAGATGCATATATATATATATATATATATATATATGTATTCGGCTGACGTGTCCCAATATAGAACCAAATGAACCTGGGGGTTTCACTACTAACATCCTTCTAATACGTGTTTGAACAGTTTTGAGTTGATCCTGTCTTTATAATAATAATAAATATTATTATTATTACTACCACTACTTAATTACTTCATATAGTCTTACCTATTTGATCATTGTCCTTCTCAATATTTTTCAACTTATTAAGGGTGTCCTTCATGTCAATATGATATCTGGTCGTAATTTAAAAGCAGGTGACAAGAGTATGATCGGTCGTCATACCTCAGATCCATATTGTGTTATACGAGGTAACTATGATTGTTTTTTTGCTGCTGCTGTTGTTGTTATTGTTGTATGAATGGACTGCATGTTTTTCTCTAGTTTATTTCAATTAAAAATTTAATAATAATAATGATTTGCTTTATTCCAAAACAGTAGTGCTTGTGTGATACAGCATGGAATTCTCAGCAATTGGTACAATATTGTTGTTGCATCTAATTTATTCAACAACAAAAAAGGAACATTACAGGGTATAGGTGAGCAAAATTGATAATAGGAACTTTTTGGCAACGACAGTAACTATATAATGTCAAAAAATGTGCATAAAACGTGGGACAAGTAGAGTATCGTTGAGTGTGCGTACTTAATTGTGTAGGCATATAATCTTTTATAATGACTTCTAGTCCTATGTGATGATGGAATGCAAAAGGAGAGTTGTGAATAGAGAAAGAGAGTGATGAGAGTCAGACAGTTTATATATATATATATATATATGGCCCACTTCTCGCATGAGTTCAGATGTCTGTCAACTACAATAGTAAGAAGCTGACTTAATTGCACACCTACTATCCTCATGAGAACCTTTAATACCCTTCGCACACACACATGTGTCTGTCCAATAAAAAATTTTTACCTGGGGTTCCAGTGGGAATTCGTGACCAGTAGGGTCCAGCAGGTCGGGTGTGAGGACAAATACTCACCGGAGACATTGGCTAGCGATTGCGCTGTATCGTGAATTGGCAGAAGTTAGAATTCATGGGCCATTGGATCAGGTCCCAGTGGCTTAATGGTATGCCAGCTCGCCTTGTAACCAGAAGGTCCTGGGTTCCAACCCTGCTGGTCGGTGCGTACTGATGAAGAGTCCCAAACTAGGACGAAGCAGCAAATAATTATACTCTAGCATGGTGTCTAAGTTCTCTTCCCTTAATACTTCTAAAGAAAGTATTTATTCAAGAAATAAACGGTTATTCACAACACATACATTAGTTGATTTACTTAGCATTTCTGAATCAGAAAATCCGTGTAGAGAATTTCTTATTTTTAAATCAATTTTTAATTTTCCAGTTGATTGATGATTCGACCGAGATGTTTCAACAACGTATGTATGTATTAACTCCAAGTAATTTGGTGGATGGTGACTGGTGGTGGAATCCAGCATGCACGTGTCGTCCTATTTTGAGACTCGTCATCTGGATGTATCTGCATCTCCCAGTGATTGGGGAAAATTTAGCTGATGAGACCTAAATAGGACGAAACGCGCATCCTGGATTCCACTGCTAGTCAATATCCACTAAAATTACTTAAGGTTATTTTTTTTTCAATGCAGAATTGTGGTGAAATTCACTCTCAGCAAGTTTGTTTGTTCTCCATGAACGAATTTGGACATTCATCCAGTACCTCATTGATGACTAATCTCAAGAAATGTTTTTTGAGTTTTGGTGAAAAAAAGCCATCTCTCAAGAGGTATCAAATAATTTTAGTAGGTAACCTACGGTGACAGTGATTCCTAGTTCAGATTTATCGTGAATCCATAAAAGTTGGAAGTCGTAGGTTATTCGATAAGAACTTAGTAGCTGAAGGATAATATCATACCTTCTTGGTTGTGTACTACTCACTTGTCGTGAAGTAAGTAAGACAAAGTAGACGTTCGATGCTCGTCTAGATAAGATTGGCTTATGATGACATCTACCTCACTCTAGTAGTCATGAAAATTATAATAATCTATTCAAAGATTTACTTTTCCTCGCTTCAATTTCCAGTTGGCGCTAGATCATTTAATACGTCAGTGGTCAAAGAAACTTTGGAGCCAGTTTGGAATCAACATTTCGAGGTAAATTAATTTGATCTACATACTGCTGTAAAGCTTTTAGAGTTTTTTTTGTTTTAATACTAATCAGCATTGCCTGACTCATCTTTATAGAATGCTATTGAATTCTTGTTTGTGCGCGCCTACAACTCAGTTGGAATTCATGAGCAGTTGATTCCCTTACAATGTCTTGTTTTACTCAAATTCTGATGTAATTCAGTATTGGTGTGTTGAAGAAAGATTCAGAAGGGAAGTGTATAGAGGTTGTTTGTAGTTTCAGGAGTTTACACTACACGGTATTTATCCAAGTGCACAAGAAACACTCCTCAGTGAAGTGAAATACTGACTGTATGGTTTGAGTATCGTATAACTCCCTAGTTCATTTGACGTTTGTGGTAATCAGTTGAAACCCTTACATATGTGTACGAGTCTTGTACTTATTGTTAATATTCGTTGAGACAAGTATCCCTTCAGGGATTTGAATTGTCATTATCTAACTCTTCATTTAGTAGCATTGCAACTGATGAGTTGTCCACTTAAATCTAATCTAATGATTCTGTAGTTCAATCATAGTGGTTCTCCACTATGAATCAACACCATTTAAGAAAGATCATTGAAAACCAGGGGGGCACTGGACGATTTTAATCTGAAGCTGCTGCAGTGGAGAGTCATGACCATTGGAGTCCACCATGTCAAGGTCAAGTGGATGCATATCGAAGGCCATTGGTGAGGGCAGCGCAATATCATGATTTGACCTACTTAGATTTCACGAGTCATTGAATTGCGGCCTAATTGGCTGAATGGTCAACAATGCTTTGTCCCGTAACCTGAAGGTCCCAGGTTTGTGGGTACGCGTTGATGAAGAGCCTAAGAATAGGATGAAACAGCTATTAAGTGCTCCCATCTGGTTTTCAGTGATCTCTGTATGTGATGTCGATTCTTGATGAAAATCCAGCAATTGTAATTAATCTGAAATCCGCCCAAAACTTACAAATGGGGTTATTGATCAACAGATTTTTCGGTTTAAGATTATTGTTTATCTGAATTGGTCAAATCTCAAATACATTTATTTGGATGCAAACAAGTGTGTAGTTTCATTGATCTATTACAATGACTATTGCTAATTAAATATAAAAATAAATAAGGAATGTTTTATGCCAGTCAACTGTGTTTGATTCCCTGAACTCATTATCACTGCAACACACGTACCTATCGCAATCAATTCTAAGCTAAAAAAACGAAACATGGGTGTTATTTTTTATTGTCATCAAGAAAACTCTACTTTTAGCCTATTAATCCAGTGTGATTGGGTAAAGGAGTACTCGTAAAGTCAATCAAAAGTCCCATACTGCCACACCTACCTCGTGGACTGACTAAAATTCAGCTTTTTCAGTTCTACTACTACTAGGTGCCATATCAACTCCGTAGGTTGGTACGTCTTGTAAGTTGTAGGGTCTATCTGAGGCGGTTGACATAATAAGAAATTTTCAACCCAATCTCTGTGTATTCACAAAAAGTTTGTTCAATATCTCTTTCTCCCTTGTCCTTCACCTCAAGCTAGAATAGATATCTCTCCGGGTGACACCGGATAATTGTAAATATTATCTTATTATTTTATTTGTAATGCTAATTGTATTATCAATATCATGTTGTATGGTGCTGTAGTTGTACATTTTAATCTCGGTTTCACAATTTATTATTATTATTATTTTAAGCGAACAATTGTTTTCGGTAAATTCTTCCTCAGGCTGTACAGTTATAAATCCATAATTATTATTAGAATACAAACAACCATTAAAGGCATGTGAAAATTATATTGGAAACTGTATTGTCGGCTTACATGTATAATATGGAGGGATAGCTGGGTATTTAGTATTGTCAAATGAACGTATGTAAAAAAATGTGCAGTCATTCGGAACATAAGATAAAGTGTAAAGAGACAAAAGGGTGACATAGTAATGTACTTATAGTCAACAGAATATAAGTTTGATTGGGGGTGGGGGGTGAATTATATTCAATGGTGTGCGAGGAAAATGATTACCACAAAACACTTACAAACAAATACCAAAAACGAGGAACACTGAATGTAAGTTCATGCAAGGGCTGACAGATATAAATTGTGGTGATAAAATAAAGAGGTTGAATTGTGAACTGTAATAAAATACTAGAGACATAATAAGCTTAGTGTAAATTATACAAAAGGTTGACACATAATGAAGGTAATAATGGAGTAAAGTGAACTAGGTGAACAGGAATAAGAAGGCATAATACGTCATGAAAATATGTTTGATTATCTCTCTGCCGTCCTTATAGTAGGCCAGAGTAAACAGAGAGGATAAACGAATGTGCTTCTTCTGCATACATAATTCAGGTTTTTTTTCTTATTAATCTCTGCAGCTTCCGCTGTAGCTAAGAGACGTAATCATATGCCTTTAAGCTCGGTTTGTTAAACACTTAACTAAGCCTTCCTTAACAGTTAAAGGATGAGATGAATTAAAGTCTAAATATCTATTAGAATGGCAATGGCACTAAGTAGCACAAAAAAGACCTAAGTGAGGAAATAAAACAGATAGAAGAGGCGTTGGTGTTAAATAACTATCCTTTAAAATTCATTCGGAAGATTGAAAAACGTCAAAAGAAAAAGAAAAAGAATTGTGAAACTGTTAATAATAACATAAATAAGAGAGAATATAAGTCATCTACAGTTATACCATATAAAGAGGGGACATATGAGACCCTACGTAGGATTCTAAATAAAGCAGGAATTAGGGTGGCATTTAAACCTACAAACTCACTCAGGGACAAGCTCTGTAGGTTAAAGGACCCAGTGGACCCAATTAGACAAAATAACATAATTTACAAAATACCCTGCAATGACTGTGAGGTCAACTACATAGGTCAAACTAGTAGGTCAGGGGTAGTCAGATTGTCGGAACATAAGAATTTAGCTGAGGGAAGAATGGTTGACCCCGAGAAGATAAGTAATTTAGAAAAAAGCTCGGCAATTGCAATGCATGCATTAACACACAACCACACAATAGGGTGGGAGAGGGTTAAAATTCTAAAATGTAATCTAGGTAGGTGGAGAGAGAGATTGATTACTGAACCCTTGTTCATCGAGTCTACACCCAACACATGCAACAGAAATGACTCAATGCAAATACTAGAAATATGGAAAATATTACTACCAATCAAATCAAGTGAAAAACAACGGAACTATATAAATGAATTTAGGAAGTCGTGTGATTACCTTGATATGATAATGAGCAATAAATTGTGCTCGAAACGTCATCAGTAAACATTACTGTATAACACTGTGAGACTTTATCAAAACAAAAATTTACCCATAATGGAATTACACTCTACCACAGTGCCCAAGTTTTATTCTTATATCAATGTGTTAATAGCTCGTTAGGGTCAGGGTTATAATTAGCATTAGGGTTAAAATTACGGTTTGGATAAGGGCTTAGATTAACGTTAGGGTTAGTGTTAGGGCCAGGATTAAGCTTATGGTTATAGTTGATGTCATTTATTTTAATTTATTTTATTTTTCACATTTTCCTGGTAAGTAGTCGTCGATCCTCTCACTGGAAACCGTAGTAATTAAACCGAGGGCTTTCGGGGAAGACTGCACAACAGGATAAAAGAGATAAACAATTCACAAAAATAGCTCATCTGTAGTCACCTGGGTGAATACATGTACAGGGACTAGTCTAACTTAGCAACTCATACGCCTCATTATAACTGGGACGTATTTTGAAGTCATCTCAGTGAAAGATACTCTGTTTAATGTGTTTTCATGCATTTTTTTTTGTAAATATACGTCATATTTTGTGTGCAAAAGTCACTTATTCTTATGATTGGTTGACTGAAGATCATTCGTGCGTTCGTATCCCTTGGGACGCTATTGTTGAACTTTGCCCTCTAGTGTACATATTTTACCTCTACACTCACCATTGGAAACATTTATTTCCCGATACAAATTTAAAACACGCAACAAAGGTTAATAAAACAGGATTTAATGAATTCATCAAATTTCGGTTGAACTCTTGAGATGAATACTCTACATACGGAGATATACATACTATTTAAAATACATTGGGAGATATAAGACTGATAAGCAAATAAACTACATTGAATTAATCACGCAAAAAGACAGGTGCGAATGTTTTCCAGGTCATGTTCAAATAGATAAGGGGTGAGGGAGTATGAAAGATTAAAATTACGATAAAATGCATTACGCTTCAATTATATCACTTAGATAAACAATTAGTCATTAGTGAATATGTCAAGAATTGCAAACAGCGTAATATCAGTAGTAAAAGTTATAATAATAATAATAATAATAGTGTTGAAGAGAGCTAAGATAATGCTACTGATAAAGGATAGTTTTAAATGAATCAAGAATGATAATAATAATAATAAGAGGTAGCATAATAATTAAAACGTATAACCATGGTAAATTCCGAGTGACGACCATTTCCTTTTGGACACAGAGACCTGGTTTATAAATTCAGATTGCACAAGCCTCTGCAATTGCAAGCATTTTCCCGCTTCTTTGTCTTCTGACAACAGTGAATGACTTGACAGGGCTGACATCATATCCATATTCCACAAGAGGCTTTGGTATTAAGCTTTTTTGGAACTTTGAATCCATCTGTTTTCAACCATTTTGGCAAATGCTCCGTCATGCGAGTAGACAATCGCCTTTCTGTACGACCTATGTATTTGCTTCCACAAACACACTCAAATTTATGTATGCAGTTTAAAGTATCGAGGATTGGCGAGTACTGATCTTTCCCAGATTTTTGAAGCACTCGCTTGGTGGTGTTAAGGAAGACAAGTTTTGCAGCATATGTAGACTATTCAGCTGAAGAGTCCTACTGAAACTTGAGGGATTCATTAAATCCTGTTTTATTAACCTTTGTTGCTTGTTTTACACTCTCCATCACCTAGACTATATAAAGAGTTGAATGAATTTATCCTTATTATTATTATTATGATCACCTCAATTGTTATCCATT